GGAAATTCCGCTTTTTATCTGTTACATTAGCACCTCGGTGCACAACAACTCATGGGACATAACTGTGGCTGTTCTTGTTTTTTTTTGTAGCTCCCCTGCGATCATTATACTGAAAATTGCGCCTTTTTCGGAGAATAATAATTAATTACATGAATTTTGAAATACGTTCCGCAACAATTAAACAAAATAAACCGGGAATGATCTCCCCTAAACTTTCTCGAACATTCTTATATAACGCTACGGGGGAAGGCAACTCGGGATATACAGACTCTAATACACACACATACACAGATACACACACAGACATTCGGACAAGATTGCAAAACTATGTTTTTCAGACTCAAAGAGGTGTAAAACGTCGAGATTTGCATTTTTTTTTCGCACGATTACAAGACTTTCTCTATACTTCGTACATACAAAAAAAGTAAAAATATTTCTTAGGACACTGAACACACAAGATACACATTACACACTCGAACTCTGACCTCTTAGAGTCTACGAGGGAAGGTTGGTCGCCATTAATAGAAATAAACATGTACTAAACCAAGTCACTGACAGTTATGTTAGTGGACTTAAAGATCTGTGCTAGGCCTTACGAGATGTATTTCAAACATAACATCAACACAAATAATGCGACGTATAAAAAGTTTTATATATAAATAATTTATATCTACTTGAAAATACATCTCATATAGAAAGGAAAAAACAACCTTGCCAACTATAAAATTAAAGAAGTAATTCCTTTATGAAGTTTATGGTTAACTAAATGCCGGGGATGTGCTAGTTCGTATGTCAGTACATCTGTTTGATTCTTTTTCTTTGCACGATTACAATACTTTCTCTATACTCAGTATACGAGAAAGTAAAAAGCAACAGCAAGTACATAACTTGAGCTACGAAGTAAAAACTCTTATGTTATGTACACTAATGTCACTTTATCAATAACACACCGCAAGTAGATCTACAGCCTATTTCTTGGGTTACTTATCGGCGCCAATTCAGAACCAGGCATATGCGAGGCGCCCATACAACTAATGTTTCTTTTATTCCTGCTGTATATGAACCGTCAACCACCAACAGATCAATCTTAATTCACAAGTCTTATCTTTACTTGAGGTGTCATGGGGTGCGAAAAAGATGATTAAGTGTACAGAACAATAAACACATTCTCACACAGCTTCAAGAACGTTAGTACGAGTCAAGATAATCAGCATTACATAAGTAGGTGTCAAGGTGATCAGCATTACATTTGTAGGAGTCAAGATAATCAGCATGACATATGTAGGAGTCAAGATGATCAGCATTACATTTGTAGGAGTCAAGGTGATCAGCATTACATATGTAGGAGTCAAGATGATCAGCATTACATATGTAGGAGTCAAGATGATCAGCATGACATATGTAGGAGTCAAGATGATCAGCATTACATATGTGAGAACATATACTTAAATACCCCGGGTTGATAAAACAATATAAAAACACTGTGGATAAGAGTAGAACTGCAACTAAAAAATGAATAATCAAACTTCAAATAAAGAATAACAATAGTTGTTTATTTAACAAACACTGTGAACATTTGTGAATATTATTTTTTAATTACTAGTAAAGAGGTCCGTGAGCAATAGGGTGATTGAACTTATACTTTAGCTTTATCTTAAAAAACAATCTTTAAAGAACAAAGAAAACAGTAGCTAATTAAAAAAAGTTAAATATCTGAACTGCAAGACTACTATTACAATGTTCCAACTTATAAATTTGTTTTTCATGCCATTTTTTTCCCATGCAATTTTTTTCAGTACTTTAAAATAGTTAATACAATAGAGTTGATGGCTAAAATCTTCAAAATGAACACAAAAATGCTTTGATAATAGTGCTGGATAATAGCAGGATCCCTTATTTTTGTAGGTAATATTAAATAATACATGAATAATTAGACATTCAGTTAAGTTAATTTTTATATCACATTGTCTAATCGATCTAACTTGGATACATTTCTTGTCCTGAGCAATTAATCATTAGAGCATGGCTTATCGTAAATAGATTGCTGTTACAGTTTTCGATTTTGCAAAATTGTATCTTCATAGTTGGTCATCGTGACGGAACCAAATCCTTTACACTTCTGGGTGGTAAAATCCCTAATGACGTTGAGACTCTGGACAATTCCAAAAGGACCAAAGAGCCGCCACAGGACACTGGGTGTCGGGCGCGCGGTTATAAACAAAGATGCACCGGCAAGTGACCAGAAAATTCCCTGCTATTCCAAGGAATTCCTTTCTATTCCAGGGAATTTCATGCTATATTTTTTAAAAAATAACTTCAACGCGTATAAATCGTTGAACAAACTTGGCAAATTATATTAAATCACAAAAAACAGACATTTTAAGGGCTACCATTTTTTAAAGTGAATCCTACCCTAATATTCAATTCCCAACTGAAACTTTAAAACACTGAAACTTAATGTCATGTCAGGAATTCTTTTTAAACAAAAAATTAAAATATTTCATTTTTGAGACATTTGATACCTATTTTGTTAAAAGTCTCATTACTGATTTTAACAATTTTTAAACACAAATTATTCATTTTTAATTTATAGCAACCAACAAAAAAAATTTAAGGAATTTTAAAAAAATTATCGTGGAGTTAAAACAAAAAACAGCATGTGGGCTGCCAAAAAAAAAAATTAGTAAATTAGTAAAGACGTTGAGAGACTTGGCCAGAAAACTTGCTGGTGTGAGCGTCACACGCCTTTGACTTAAGCCGCTACATTCAATTCAGCCGCCACTAACCATTAGGAGCTGGAACCAGGCTGAAAAACAAAAGCTAACGTAAACAAAGGAATTGGAAAAAACGTACCACACGATTATTACTACTTATTGACATTGTTAAATTTAAATAGCAGAAGCCATTTTATACAAAGATTTCTTTTAATTTAAGGACACAGCCGTTAGACACCAAAGTTGATACCTACTTAAAACAAATAAAAATTACCTTTTCTTCCATTCCAGATAAAACAGGATTTTATTTGCCGCTATTTCAATTGCTTGCTCTTTGTTTTTTTCTTCGAAGTGTTTCTTTTGTATTTCCATCAATTTCGCTTTATTGTAAAAGTGCAGCGATATAATGACCACTGTAAAAAAGGTTTGACAAAAATAATACTAATATATAAAAGCCCTGCAGCGAACTTCTCTCTCTCTCTCCTCCTACTCTTTCTCCCTCCCCCCCCCCCCCCCTCTCTCTCTTTCTTAGCTGAACTATTGAAATATGCTGAGTGGCGTTGTAAACCTAGCGGTAGAAAGCTTTGAGTTCAAATCCGGGCTCAAGACAGTAGAACGTCCCCGAGTCTACCCAGCTCTGATGTATATTTAACTTGGGTTAGGGAAAGTAATCAATCACGTCTAGAGTTCAAATCCCGCCTCAGATCCGTAGAACGTCCCCGAGTCTACCCAGCTCGGGTTAGGGAAAGTAATAATTCACGTCAACGAAAGTAAAGGCGACTGAGCAAAGTGCTGACCACAACTTCCCTTAATATGCCGAGGTCAAGAATGTGACCTACTTAGGTCTTTTTAATTTATTAGTACTTGTATGGCCTACAGCTATATTTTATTAAACGAGGGAATTTTCCACGAGGCTCATGTGAGAGTATCCACAACTGTGCTAGTGAATCACCCTAATAGTCCTTGACCTCTGTGTCGATATCCCATAATCCTTTGGTGATAGAAATATAAAAAGGAGATTTCAGAACACGAGGGGCGCAGAGGACACCCACAGAGAGAGAGAGAGAGAGAGAGAGAGAGAGAGAGAGAGAGAGAGAGAGAGAGAGAGAGAGAGAGAGAGAGAACCCATGACATCCATGTTACCTTAAAGTTCATTAGTATATCTTATCTTGTGTTCATAGTGTAGGTTGTGTTAGTTATCAAGTGTTAATTGTAGTTAGAGGTGATTATGTTTTTCTTGAAATTGTAAGTTGGGTTTTACATAATTAAATAGTTTCTGCATTGTATTTTTTTTACTTAACTTAAACTTGTTAATTTTTAGAAGTTGTGGATCTGATTAAAAGTTCTGTTAGATTCTTTGTATTTATCATTTACCCTAGACATTAGATAGCGAGTTTTTATAAGGAGTTTTGTTTCTAGTAGTCTTTTATAGTTTTCATTTAGGTTATCAGTCCAGAAACCATTTCCCGAAAGAATTCGGATGATACGTTTAATAAATTAGATGTAGGAACACGTAACAAGAAACATATAAACTATTTCATCCGCTCAGAGGATCACCAGAGGACTCAGGGAAAGTAAGGCAGATCACGTAATCCCTTCATATGCTGGGGTCATAAAAAAAACTAAATTTGTAATTATAAAATAACTTACACAGAAAAATCAAGAGAGTGACTATTGTGACAGCATATAATACTGTGAGAGTATTCACACACACTGTTGATTCTGCTAGAGAAAGTGCGCTGTCAAAAGATTTTTCTTGAGCTACGGCGTTAGACACAGTAGCATGAAGCAATATCACGATCTATAATAAAAATGTTAAACATAAGTCAATCAGCCAGCAGCCTACCACCCATTCACCCAATCCGACCCAACCCAACCACCCACCCACCCGACACAACACCACCCCACCCAACCCCACTCAACCAACCCATCCTATCTCAAACCTACCCCACCCAACCAACCCAACCAACCACCCCACCCCACTAAACGAACCCAACCCAACCCAAACCAAACCAAACCAACCCGACCCAACCAACCCCACTCAACCAACCAACCCAACCAACCAAACCCATCCCAACCCAACCCAACCCAACCACCCAACCAATTACCCTGTCAGCTATGTATTACTAACTTATCAATTAGATTCGTTACCAAGACACCGACCCAAACATCCACCCATCAACAAACACAACGACCCAAACATCCACCCATCAACAAACACAACGACCCAAACATCCATCCATCAACAAACACAACGACCCAAACATTCACCCATCAACAAACACAACGACCCAAACATCCATCCATCAACAAACACAACGACCCAAACATTCACCCATCAACAAACACAACGACCCAAACATCCATCCATCAACAAACACAACGACCCAAACATCCACCCATCAACAAAGACACCGACCCAAACATCCACCCATCAACAAACACAACGACCCAAACATCCACCCATCAACAAAGACAACGACCCAAACATCCACCCATCAACAAAGACACCGACCCAAACATCCACCCATCAACAAAGACACCGACCCAAACATCCACCCATCAACAAACACACCGACCCAAACATCCACCCATCAACAAACACAACGACCCAAACATCCACCCATCAACAAAGACACCCAAACATCCACCCATCAACAAAGACACCGACCCAAACATCCACCCATCAACAAACACAACGACCCAAACATCCACCCATCAACAAAGACAACGACCCAAACATCCACCCATCAACAAAGACACCGACCCAAACATCCACCCATCAACAAAGACACCGACCCAAACATCCACCCATCAACAAACACACCGACCCAAACATCCACCCACCAACAAAGACACCCAAACATCCACCCATCAACAAACACAACGACCCAAACATCCACCCATCAACAAACACAACGACCCAAACATCCACCCATCAACAAAGACACCGACCCAAACATCCACCCATCAACAAAGACAACGACCCAAACATCCACCCATCAACAAAGACAACGACCCAAACATCCACCCATCAACAAAGACACCGACCCAAACATCCACCCATCAACAAAGACACCGACCCAAACATCCACCCATCAACAAACACACCGACCCAAACATCCACCCATCAACAAACACAACGACCCAAACATCCACCCATCAACAAACACAACGACCCAAACATCCACCCATCAACAAACACAACGACCCAAACATCCACCCATCAACAAAGACATCCAAACATCCACCCTTCAACAAAGAAAATGATCCAAACATCCACCTATCTATCCAACTTTAAACCCACCTGTACTAATCTGTTTTGCCTGAACAAAACGAACAATATGCCATATGACCAAGCTGTAAGACCATAGGTTAACAATTAATTGTAAGCAACAAACAATAAAAAGTCGATTCATTTATTTAAAAAACTAAAAATTTGAATTTACAATTTTTTTAGACGTAGGTCTGTCTGTATCTATATGAGTTTGGGTATGTATGCGTATAAGTGTGCAGGGTATGAGTATGCTTAGCTAATGCGTATGTGTACCTGTACGTGTATGCGTATGTATGTATATAAATTTATATATATATATATACATATATATATATAAAATATATATATATATATGTATGCGTATGTATATATATATATATATATATATATATATATATATATATATATATATATATATATATATATATGCGTATGCGTATGTATATATATATATATATATATATATATATATATATATATATATATATATATATATATATATATATTTATATTTATATATATATATGAGTGGGGAGTGATCCTACTCACACAAGGTGGGGGCATCTTCTTGACGGTAGAGCTGGCCATTAGCAATCTCCTCCTTAACGTCAGGCCCATCCCCAGCGTTGACAAGCGTAGCCTCACACAGTCGTCGGTTGAAGCTGAAGGCGAGCGGGGCGTTCTGGTGTATGCACTCGGTCAAGGTGTCCTTCCACGTGAAGTCCTCCTCAATCAGGGGGCGGATCTCGTACTCCAGGCTCCTGATCTGGTTCGTCCCCAGGCTCCTGATCTGGTTCGTCTGCAGGCTACTGATCTGGTTCGTCTGCAGGCTACTGATCTGGTTCGTCTGCAGGCTACTGATCTGGTTCGTCTGCAGGCTACTGATCTGGTTCGTCCCCAGGCTCCTGATCTGGTTCGTCTGCAGGCTACTGATCTGGTTCGTCCCCAGGCTCCTGATCTGGTTCGTCTGCAGGCTACTGATCTGGTTCGTCTGCAGGCTACTGATCTGGTTCGTCTGCAGGCTACTGATCTGGTTCGTCCCCAGGCTCCTGATCTGGTTCGTCTGCAGGCTACTGATCTGGTTCGTCTCCAGCTCGAACATGTACGCTCCCTTGGGGGCTCGGGTAATAACAGTCTTGCAGCTACCGGACATCAATTCTGAAACATACAAACAGCATGACTGAAACATACAAACAGCAAGACTGAAACATACAAACATTAAGTCTGAAACATACAAACAGCAAGACTGAAACATACAAACAGCAAGACTGAAACATACAAACAGCAAGACTGAAACATACAAACAGCAAGACTGAAACATACAAACAGCAAGACTGAAACATACAAACAGCAAGACTGAAACATACAAACAGCAAGACTGAAACATACAAACATTAAGTCTGAAACATACAAACATTAAGTCTGAAACATACAAACATTAAGTCTGAAACATACAAACATTAAGTCTGAAACATACAAACATTAAGTCTGAAACAAACAAACAGCAAGACTGAAACATACAAACAGCAAGTCTGAAACATACAAACATCAAGAATGAAACATACAAACAGCAAGTCTAAAACATACAAACAGCAAGTCTGAAAAAACAGCAAATCTGAAACAAACAGCAATTTGAGTCAAACAACAAGCATGAAATACAAATAGCATACAAACTAAAAGCCATTTAATATGTTTAAGTTAATTCTATGTTTTGAAATTGTTTACTATCATTCTTGCAGAGCGAAAAATAGAGCCACGGGACACAATTCAAGAAATTCCGACAATGGAGTTACGGCCCTTTAAGTTAAAAAATTCTTTTAAAATATATTTTTTCAGTACAACCCTGACCCTTCCCTGCCCTCCACTAAACATTTCATCACCATTAAAGTTAATATTTGACGTTTCATGACCATAACTCTAACACTAACACAAAAGACAGCATTTAACTCTAACAATATCCAAAGAGTAAGCATTTAACTATAACACTAACCCAAGAGTCAGACCTTAACTCTAACATTAACCCAAGAGTCAGACCTTAACTCTAACACTAATCTAAGAGTAAGACCTTAACTCTAACACTAACCCAAGAGTCAGACCTTAACTCTAACACTAATCAAAGAGTCAGACCTTAACTCTTACACTAACCCAAGAATCAGACCTTAACTCTAACACTAACTAAAGAGTCAGACCTTAACTCTAACATTAAGCAAAGAGTCAGACCTTAACTCTAACACTAACTAAAGAGTCAGACCTTAACTCTAACACTAAGCCAAGAGTCAGACCTTAACTCTAACACTAACTAAAGAGTAAGACCTTAACTCTAACACTAACCCAAGAGTCAGACCTTAACTCTAACTCTAATAAAAGAGTCAGACCTTAACTCTTACACTAACCTAAGAGTCAGACCTTAACTCTAACACTAACCAAAGAGTCAGACCCTAACTCTAACACTAACCCAAGAGTCAGACCTTAACTCTAAAATTAAAAAAGAGTTAGACATTAACTCTAACACTAACTAAAGAGTCAGACTTTAACTTTAACACTAACCCAAGAGTCAGACCTTAACTCTAACACTAAGCCAAGAGTCAGACCTTAATACTAACACTAACTAAAGAGTCAGACCTTAACTCTAACACTAACCCAAGAGTCAGACCTTAACTCTAACACTAACCCAAGAGTCAGACCTTAATACTAACACTAACTAAAGAGTCAGACCTTAACTCTAACACTAACCCAAGAGTCAGACCTTAACTCTAACACTAACCCAAGAGTCAGACCTTAACTCTAACACTAACCCAAGAGTCAGACCTTAACTCTAACACTAAGCCAAGAGTCAGACCTTAATACTAACACTAACTAAAGAGTCAGACCTTAACTCTAACACTAACCCAAGAGTCAGACCTTAACTCTAACACTAACCCAAGAGTCAGACCTTAACTCTAACATTAACTAAAGAGTCAGATGTTAACTCTAACACTAACCCAAGAGTCAGACCTTAACTCTAACACTAACCCAAGCGTCAGGACTTACTTCTATTTGCTGACGATATGTAGTGGGTACCGGTTTCTAGTCTGGAGAAAGACGTCTGCCAGTTATTGATGACGTCACGCTTCCACTTTAATCTAAGATTGGAAATAAATAAAATGTGCCCAATTAAATGCCCCACCCTGTTAGAAATGAACACCAGTTAACGTTTTCGTAAATCATTTGAGTATGCAATACAGAGTGGGGATGTTAGGGTATGGTTAGGGTCCGTAGAGTAGGGGAGACGATATCATGGTATGAACTGGTGATGTATCAAGGTCAAAAAAGTGTTTATTATTTAGGTTTTTTTTTAAGGCAATTCAAAACTTTGAACTGATCTTTTTATTGATATAAAATTTAACTTTTAAAGCAATATTATAATACAGTACTGTTTAAAGAATAGTCAAAAACATTTTCTTTGTACTACGACCTTTATCCATATGTTCTCTGACCATAGTGGCTTTGATCATTGGTGGTTAGACCATAGTGGCTTTGATCATTGGTGGTTAGACCATAGTGGCTTTGATCATTGGTGGTTAGACCATAGTGGCTTTGATCATTGGTGGTTAGACCATAGTGGCTTTGATCATTGGTGGTTAGACCATAGTGGCTTTGATCATTGGTGGTTAGACCATAGTGGCTTTGATCATTGGTGGTTAGACCATAGTGGCTTTGATCATTGGTGGTTAGACCATAGTGGCTTTGATCATTGGTGGTTAGACCATAGTGGCTTTGATCATTGGTGGTTAGACCATAGTGGCTTTGATCATTGGTGGTTAGACCATAGTAGCTTTGATCATTGGTGGTTAGACCATAGTGGCTTTGATCATTGGTGGTTAGACCATAGAGGCTTTGATCATTGGTGGTTAGACCATAGTAGCTTTGATCATTGGTGGTTTGACCAGAGCGTGACTTGGCCATAGTTCTTTTGTGCTAAGATAGTCTCTGACCACAGGTGGATTTTCAAGAGTGGGGGTTTGTTCACACGTGATTTGTCCATATATGGTAAGGATTAAGAAACAAAACAATACTTACTTTTGTACCAGAACAAATTATTGTGTGACGAAACAAAACAAGACTTACTTTGGTACCAGAACATAGTACTCCGCGCCCCAACCGGAAGTTGGTATGGCCAGGAAACTGGCAGTTGAGTGGAACGACACCGGCATAAACACCGTCATCCCAAAGTTGAACTTTCCTTTGGCGACAATAGACGTGATGGGGCCACTGATTGATGTTCTGGGACACAATGAGAGCGGTTTAAAGCAGACATTCACTGCTCACGTCATCAACATCCACAGTCTCACGTCATCAACATTCACAGTCCCACGTCATCAACATTCACAGTCTCACGTCATCAACATTCACAGTCCCACGTCATCAACATTCACAGTCTCACGTCATCAACATTCACAGACCGATGTCGTAAATATTAACAGTCCGACGTCGTAAATTGTCATAGTGTATATTTGAAGCCATTGTCGAGACGGCAGATATATCCGCTGAACCTACCGATATGAAGCGCTAACTTACAGAAAACGAAAAGACTTACAACTATACTATTTCCGCTGGAACTTCCAATATACAGAAAACGAAAAGACTTACAAATATTTCCGCATGAACCTTCCGATATAAAGAGCTAACTTACAAATATTTCCGCTGGACCACGTAAGTAGTGACCTGCAAACGGTCGAGAGCGACTCTTTCAAAAACCGGGTTTCGCCACATCGGATCCGTGACGTAAACATTGAATTTATTCATCATGGTGATGGGTTGGCCTTCAGGCATGTATGGGAACTGTACAAGAAATTCCACTCCCATTTGAGAACCTTGAGCTGCAGTGGGGGAAAATGTGGAGCTTGTGAACTTATGATGTCTACACCATGTTTACTTTTAGACAAATGTTTCACTAATATAGCCCAACTCTCCGGCTGAGTATAAAATTCCTTAATCTGTTAGTAACAGAAAACTAGTGAAAAATCACGATATAGCGTTGGTTATTATTCCAGAATTTTACAGCAGTAACAAAAACCAGTAAAACCATGGCGTAGTCTGCTGAGCCGTTCCGGAAACCACAGGAAATACTGTAAACCATCATTTATTTGCCGCCATATTATTTAAAATACATAATGTTTAAAAATGTGCTTGGACTGATTTTAGTTGCATTTTGTCCTATACTGTTTTGCTAATTAGTTTGTATTTCTAATTATTTTAAGTGTATGTGCTAATTATTGCTGCACTAAACATTGTTCTAGTTCTTCTTACTACTTTTAACTTAGGTAAATCTAATCGTCTTATTTTACAAGATCTAAATCTAGTTGTCGCAAATCTTCTGCAAGTTTTTTTTTTCCCAGGTTTCTTTAAAAACATCAATTACTACACTCGAGTTTATTAATAATATTTAGATGTAGTAATTGTGTTAATACTCTGTCAATTAAACTTTAAATTAAGTTAAAACATTAATTTTTATTTCAACGGTTAAATAAACTATGGTTTACAGTAACGAATTTTACCGAAACTCAACACACATTATCAGATAATTTCCGACGCTATATCGTGAGATTACCCGGATGTCTACACAGACTTAGATATCTAAATTCTAGATCTAGAGCTAGATTCTAGCCTTCTAGATGTCTATGTGTCTTGACTCTCTAGACAGATTTACCTTCAACCTTTGAGATTAATCCCAAGCACACAATAGCTAACATGTTGATCATCCTTGAAAAATGTGTAGGAGCCATAAAACTGCTTGCTTGTATGCTCGATGTACACAATAAATGATTAGCCTTCACACCCTGGTACAAAACTTCAGGCAGTCGGCCGAAAAGGGCAACATATTTAGGTGCTGAAGGTTACACATGGATATCAGTATCCTAGCAGGCTGGGTCTGTTCAAAGCTCGTGTAAACCAGCGCCTAGTGAGTTTCTGTTCTGTGTTTGCTTTTGCGCACCAAATCTTTCGATTTATTGTTGTGAACCCATTCATTCTACCGAACACCACCATAGACGTACCAATGTAAAGAGCATAACTCTGTATGAACAAGTGAACCCTTTCACAAAATATTCGTTTTTGTCTAAATCAAATTGATAATTAAGATAAAAACTACTTTTAAATGTTGGAATTAAATCTGGTTTTCCAACAGCATTAAATAGAATAGAATATATTCGGTAGAAGTACAATATAACAATAAACAAGTTAATTAAAAAAGTCTAGTGACATTTATGCGCAATTTCCTTATGTTATCTAAAAATAGCTCTGACGTATAATGCTGGGATGCGTTCAAGCTAGAAGAACAATCGGTTTGTAGGTGTTTTTGTAATTTTAAAATTTGTGACCAAACGAGAGGATATTTTTGAAAACTTTCTTCGGCAATATTGCTCTAAATTATGGCAGGAATCGATTGGTACATGTTTCAAGTCGCTAAGTGGTCTGGTTGACGAGATATGGGCCAAAAACTGCTTTTTTCGAGGTTTTTTGGCTTTTCCGGGAAATACATGAAAGAAACCCGGAATTTTTATAGCCTATGCTCATTCTTGTAACTTGCTTAACATAATTGCTTTTGGAACTAGTCATCGATATTGCTTCGTTGAGGAGGAGATACGACTTAAAGCCCGGACACACATTCATCCATACATTCATCCATCCATCCATCCATCCAGAAATGACGCGTTAATAAACGCAATTCTCCAGAATGGAAATTGCGCTAAAAACAATTTAAAAATGTCAGAGAAAATCCGAAATAGGTCATTTTGGGTAGTCATTTTTATTTAATTTTGTCTGAAGAACTATACATCGAATTTGACAGTTGAATATCAATATATAATTCGTTAAATACATGCCTAGATATTTTTAGGCATGTCTTTATACTATTTTTAATTTTAAATCAACTGAAAATGGGACAGATGAGTCTAAAATTTTGGGATGAAAAGAGACTACGTTGTACATTTCAAAATCGCCATTCAAATTAGTAAACCGGAAAAGGATGCTGAAACTATCCAGCTTCCTGTTTAGTTAAAAATTAGGATTTGTAGGCCAAATTTTAATAAAACATATTTAATTTTTCTTTATTGGTTGCGGGCGGCAGCCGGCGTTATGGGTCATCGAAACTAATGTACGTAGATGCTAAACAAGTATTTGTAATAAATGCATTTATAAATACAATTTTGAAAGAGATTCTTTGTTATTGGGTTAAAATAAAAAGACTACTTTTGAGGATTTAATTAAAGTATTGGCGTTTGAAGTCTGATATATTAATAATGCATGCGTAATTAATTAAATATCTGTTGGAGTTGGCTTAACTAGTAATGTACAATGGCAATGCCTTAATATATTTAGCTTGAAATGTAAAGAAAATCTCAAGGGAACTTATCAAGATATTTAGACATCGAAATATATTTTATTGTTTATGTCCCTTATTGTAGTCATAATTGGCACGAATCTAAACTAGTTGGCTGATTCTATTTTAATGATTTTAAGACTGAAATATTGAAATACACCTAAATAGAAAACAGCTATTCCTAACGTATGCAACATTTACTGAGCAAAATAGACTGCATTTTACATTGTACAGATGACGTTTGCATGCGTGTATGAATTAATTTCTACTTTAAGTAGTTGCATATTGATGATTGCCGATTGAGATCGTTATAGCCTTGTATTTTAAACATTATGTTTTGTGTTACTGGCTAATTTAATTTAGTTTATGTACAAGCAAAAGGTTAAAGTTTAGGTCGTGTTGTTTTATTAAATGCAATATCTTCTTAATTTTTGGTGTAAACAATGTGAAATATGTTGTCCAATATATCAAAAGCTCGTTGTTTTCTGTTGTTTTTTTTCTCCGGAATTAAAATTGCATAAAAGGAACAAACTTGTGGTCTGCCCATATTTTTTAAAAAATAATATGCTATACAATTATCTAATCATTTTTTTTATTAACGGCTATATTCATTGACGTTAAAATTTAACACAAAAAACCCGGATAATAATTATCTACAATCCCACCGATTCTTAGCAGAAAATATTCATTAAACTTAAGTTTTGAGAATAACCGACAAGTTGAATGTGAAACTTAAGCTTTGGGAATAAGCGACAAGTTGATAATTAGGTCAACAAAGTAGAAAATATAAATGTTTGTTGTAGTTACTAAATGTGTCTTTATTTGGAATACGTATAAATCTTTGTCACACGGTATTATAATTCAAGCGATGAGTTTTCCGCGAAGTATTTTGCCTAAAATCAAAAAGAAAGTTTGCATGTTTTAAAGTTTTTTTCTCCCTTAACATTAAATTTCTCTTAGATTTATTTCTCATCTTTTAATATGCATTCATTATTGATTTTCTTATGAAAACAAAACTTATTTTTATTAAATTAATATTTTTTTAAATCTTGGAATTTCTTGAAGGTTTTACTATTAAGCAGTTATGCAATTGGACATTATTAAATGAATTATGTTAGAGAGCTGACAAAGATATCGTGCCAGTCAAATGACATTAACTAATTGTATTTATTGTTTGATAGGTTTTGAACAAGTAATACACGAAATTTTATATGAAAATTAGTCAAACATGTAATGATACAAAATGACGAGATGAAATATATACAGCTCTACAAATTTCGCAAGCTACAACCCTTTTAGGTTTCATTGAATTGAATTATCTTTAATAACGTAGGCTGTTTCAGGCTTAAACCTTTCATTTTAATGATCCTTAGAATTTACCTTCTCAGAAATAAAAATATTTTCTCCAAATATGGAACTAATCTAAAGACGTATAGGGAGAAAAACATATAGAATCACAAATAGTAAGTTAAGTGTATTAAATTCTGTAATCACAATATTTAAAATTTGGTTTTGGATTTCCAAATCGACAATCGCTCCAGAACTTCCAGGCTACTTGTGAAACTGAAAGGAAATAAGCGGGAAATCCCGCTACAACCATAAATAACACAAGGGACAGAGCAGTCGCAGATTTCATAGTCTTAGTGGTCATTCAAGGGTCCATATGGACGTCTGCATGTTGAATTTAACATCAAAAGAAACTTTTTTAAAAATAATATATATATATATATATATATATATATATATATATATATATATATATATATATATATATATATATATATATATATATATATATATATATATATATATATATATATATATGCTAGCTGTACGTCATTGCTCGCTATGATGTAAAATAAATTGAAAGTAGCACTCTGAAGAAATAAGAATAACCCCACAATGCAGACCGACTAAATGATGTATCACTCTAAACAAAACAAATGAACAAATTATACACACAGTACAACAAAAAAGAATGAACGCAACATCATCTGTTTTGTAATCCTTGTTAAAAATAACCAATGTTACATAATGATTCCTAGAATGTTAATTAAGACAAGCAAACAAGGGGAAATAATCAATCTCTGAATATAAATATCTATAAATCTACAAATTTAATAGTAAATGTCACAAGAGAGCAATAATTACTTTAGTATGTAATAAAATATCTAAACGCTACTTTATTTACAAGAATATGTTGTCTAAAATCAGAATTTTTTATATATATATATATGTTGTCTCTATAAATGCTAAAATATTACAGCATAATGACAGTTTTTTAAATCAGAGTTTGTATAAAGTTATTACAATTACCCTTTGCAAACTTAGGTGGAACATTCTAAATAATAGAATACATATAACTAAAATATTGGAACAGTTAAAGTGATTGTGGGGTTATCATGTCTGGGGGTAAAGTGGATAGAGGGGGAGAGAGGAGGGGGTAGATTTTTTTATTTTTTTTATTTTTATTAATTCAATTCTTTTAAACATTTAAATCAGTAATACCGCAACATCAATATCCAGAACGTATTTAAAGTTCTAAATCTTGTCTCTTTCCCCTCATCTTTCACACTGCAACCTTTTGAAAACTCAATGCGACCACTACAACACCCTTTCAACTAGTCAACTTAAGTTGTTTTCCTACATAGAAAATGCTTCACTGTCCCATTGACCCTCTCTGAAAAATTTCCTTTCCTCTCCCCACCCAGACTTCTGACACTTTCATTTGACCTTCACCTCTTTTACTGTCATCCTTTGCAAATTTTTTTTATAATCAAATACATGACATCATGTAAATATTCATTATGTACATTTGCAAAACCTTTCGTTTTCATTTGGTGTTCAAAATTATGTTAAAAAATTTGATGTTGATGTACTTGTTTTAATTGCAAATAAAAGTATTTAAAAAAAAAAAACTAAAATATTGTTCTTGCATTTCAGATCATTCATTTTTTTAATTAGCTACTGGTTTTTTTTTGCGTTCTTTAAAGATAATTTTTAACATTATGATAATGTATGGGTGAGATCACTGTATTGATCACACACCTCTTTAGGGGGATCAACTTCATTCACTACTGTCCGGACACTCTAGGTCAATTATCCTACCTATACCTAGGTGTGATTTTAATCTCGCTCCACTCACAAGGCCTGTCCTGTTTTAGGTGGTGAGGTGGGGGGAGGGGAACCAACTCAGAGTTCTTTAAATACGTCCCCCTCCCCCCCCCCCTCGAAGAGATGTCTGGAAGAAACTCTGATAATCCTAGATTACGGACACAGTCCACGAAAATTGCTTACTGTGGTGTTAGTTAAAACCTTTGATAATCACAGACAACGAACTCAGTCCAAAATGTTAACTAAACCCAAACAATTATGTTACAATTAATTGCATTATAGCTAACTTCTTCAGACTATGGTAGTAGTGAACGAGTGAAGGGGGATAAATGGGGGGGGGGTGAATGTTGTTGTTACTTGGTACCCTATCCCGCTCGTCCTTGTTCAGTTCTCGTGCTGTGAGTTGTAATATTCCGGTTTGTACCAGTTTATGAAAGGATATATAATGTGTATGAAAACGTGTGTGATGTCCACAGTTTCGTCAAGATCTCCAAGGTTAGTATAGGTTAGGTCTATCTATTCTAGTTTTTAGCCGCTGTATCATAGTTTTACTAGCTTGTGTGTTTTGTGTTTAGAATAGACTGTGTTGTGTGTAGATAGTGTAGCTAATATTATTTTTTTTAGTCTCAACGAGCCTTTGTTTCATTCAGTCTTATTTTGTAACTCGTTTGTTGATGTTTTATAGATCTATGTTGCGCTACGCAACGGATCACCCGAAAGGCATGTCTGTGTTTACAATAATAGTTTAATATGTAGACCTATTTACAACGCTGTTTTTCATTAGTTCATTATCAATTGGGGTAATTCTCATTACGTTATGCATTACATTTTCCTTTGCACTAAATTAAATAAAATATTTTTTAGTATTGAATCAAATGCAGTTTCATCAAATTTATTTAGAACAATCTGAAAATGAATTAAGATTACCTCATGATCGAAATTAGGTCTATGTCTGGAACTTTGATGAGTGTTGGACTGTGTGACATAGATTTGTGTAGTTTTCTTGTAAGAGACTAAATCATCTTTGAGAGCCATGTTAACAGGACGCCCTGTATCTTAACTGTACCTGCATGTTACAAGAAATGTTGGCTGTCTGGTATCTGCAAGCATCTGTATCTTAACTGTACCTGCATGTTACAAGAAATGTTGGCTGTGTGGTATCTGCCAACACCTGTCTCTGTTGGACTGTTAACATCCATCTCTACCTTATTATTGTCCATCTATTTCATCTTGTACTACCCTATTATTGTCCATCTATGTCACCTTGTACTACCTTATTATTGTCCATCTATGTCATCTTGTACTACCCTATTATTGTCCATCTATGTCATCTTGTACTACCTTATTATTGTCCATCTATGTCATCTTATACTACCTTATTATTGTCCATCTATGTCATCTTGTACTACCTTATTATTGGCCATCTATGTCATCTTGTACTACCTTATTATTGTCCATCTATGTCATCTTGTACTACCTTATTATTGTCCATCTATGTCATCTTGTACTACCTTATTATTGTCCATCTATGTCATCTATTACTACCTTATTATTGTCCATATATGTCATCTTGTACTACCTTATTATTGTCCATCTATGTCATATTGTACTACCTTATTATTGTCCATCTATGTCATCTATTACTACCTTATTATTGTCCATATATGTCATCTTGTACTACCTTATTATTGTCCATCTATGTCATCTTGTACTACCTTATTATTGCCCATCTATGTCATCTTGTACTACCTTATTATTGTCCATCTATGTCATCTTGTACTACCTTATTATTGTCCATCTATGTCATCTTGTACTACCTTATTATTGTCCATCTATGTCATCTTGTACTACCTTATTATTGTCCATCTATGTCATCCTGTACTACCTTATTATTGTCCATCTATGTCATCTTGTACTACCTTATTATTGCATGTTTTATTCTTACTTTACACTCTAAAACTTTATTGCAAATGACACATTTTTTTCACTACTTGAATGCCGAGATACAACTAGTTAAGCTAGACCTAAATGTGGTGTAGTGTGGAGATAAAACTAGTTAAGCTAGACCTAAATGTGGTGTAGTGTGGAGATAAAACTAGTTAAGCTAGACCTAAATGTGGTATAGTGTGGAGATACAATTAGTTAAGCTAGACCTAAATGTGGTGTAGTGTGGAGATACAACTAGTTAAGCTAGACCTAAATGTGGTGTAGTGTGGAGATAAAACTAGTTAAGCTAGACCTAAATGTGGTGTAGTGTGGAGATACAACTAGTTAAGCTAGACCTAAATGTGGTGTAGTGTGGAGATAAAACTAGTTAAGCTAGACTTAAATGTGGTGTAGTGTGGAGATAAAACTAGTTAAGCTAGACCTAAATGTGGTGTAGTGTGTAGATAAAACTAGTTAAGCTAGACCTAAATGTGGTGTAGTGTGGAGATAAAACTAGTTATGCTAGACCTAAATATGGTGTAGTGTGGAGATAAAACTAGTTAAGCTAGACCTAAATGTGGTGTAGTGTGGAGATAAAACTAGTTAAGCTAGACCTAAATGTGGTGTAGTGTGGAGATAAAACTAGTTAAGCTAGACTTAAATGTGGTGTAGTGTGTAGATAAAACTAGTTAAGCTAGACCTAAATGTGGTGTAGTGTGGAGATAAAACTAGTTATGCTAGACCTAAATGTGGTGTAGTGTGGAGATAAAACTAGTTAAGCTAGACCTAAATGTGGTGTAGTGTGGAGATAAAACTAGTTAAGCTAGACCTAAATGTGGTGTAGTGTGGAGATAAAACTAGTTAAGCTAGACTTAAATGTGGTGTAGTGTGTAGATAAAACTAGTTAAGCTAGACCTAAATGTGGTGTAGTGTGGAGATAAAACTAGTTATGCTAGACCTAAATGTGGTGTAGTGTGGAGATAAAACTAGTTAAGCTAGACCTAAATGTGGTGTAGTGTGGAGATAAAACTAGTTAAGCTAGACCTAAATGTGGTGTAGTGTGGAGATAAAACTAGTTAAGCTAGACTTAAATGTGGTGTAGTGTGGAGATAAAACTAGTTAAGCTAGACCTAAATGTGGTGTAGTGTGGAGATAAAACTAGTTAAGCTAGACCTAAATGTGGTGTAGTGTGGAGATAAAACTAGTTAAGCTAGACCTAAATGTGGTGTAGTGTGGAGATAAAACTAGTTAAGCTAGACCTAAATGTGGTGTAGTGTGGAGATAAAACTAGTTAAGCTAGACCTAAATGTGGTGTAGTGTGGAGATACAACTAGTTAAGCTAGACCTAAATGTGGTGTAGTGTGGAGATAAAACTAGTTAAGCTAGACTTAAATGTGGTGTAGTGTGGAGATAAAACTAGTTAAGCTAGACCTAAATGTGGTGTAGTGTGGAGATAAAACTAGTTAAGCTAGACCTAAATGTGGTGTAGTGTGGAGATAAAACTAGTTAAGCTAGACCTAAATGTGGTGTAGTGTGGAGATACAACTAGTTAAGCTAGACCTAAATGTGGTGTAGTGTGGAGATACAACTAGTTAAGCTAGACCTAAATGTGGTGTAGTGTGGAGATAAAACTAGTTAAGCTAGACCTAAATGTGGTGTAGTGTGGAGATACAACTAGTTAAGCTAGACCTAAATGTGGTTAGTGTGGAGATACAACTAGTTAAGCTAGACCTAAATGTGGTGTAGTGTGGAGATACAACTAGTTAAGCTAGACCTAAATGTGGTGTAGTGTGGAGATACAACTAGTTAAGCTAGACCTAAATGTGGTTAGTGTGGAGATACAACTAGTTAAGCTAGACTTAAATGTGGTGTAGTGTGGAGATACAACTAGTTAAGCTAGACTTAAATGTGGTGTAGTGTGGAGATACAACTAGTTAAGCTAGACCTAAATGTGGTGTAGTGTGGAGATAAAACTAGTTAAGCTAGACCTAAATGTGGTGTAGTGTGGAGATAAAACTAGTTAAGCTAGACCTAAATGTGGTGTAGTGTGGAGATAAAACTAGTTAAGCTAGACCTAAATGTGGTGTAGTGTGGAGATAAAACTAGTTAAGCTAGACCTAAATGTGGTGTAGTGTGGAGGAGTTCTTTGGAAGATTTCTGGAGGGGGCTTTTCGAAATTATTTCTTTTATTGCCATGCCCCATCTTTACTAATCTGTGATGCACAGTTAAAAATGTCGCCATCCACACTTGCACACTTTTGTATGCTAACTCTTCTTCTTCTTCGTTCTTAATTTTTAGTGTTGGAAGGGATCGAGCCTTTATCTGCCAGACGGTTTGAACTCGAGACTTTTTCGAATTTAACAACCATGAGCTTTGCCGACTCGACAATTAATGATACGTGTCAATTAGTTATGCGCCATTGAAAATCCGCTTCAGCCTGCTTCCATAGCCCTTGTCCAACCAAGAACAAACTACAAGGCAGCAGTTGTTTGATTTTGGAGTTGTCCCTCCTAGATGAGTGGCTGTCCTCAGCTAACGAGCCTCATCTGCCCGAGGGTTCGAACTCGATACTTTTCGGTTTAGCAACCATGAGCTTTACCGACTCGACCACGCCGACCCCTAACAAAACATACAGTCTTGTATAATGGTGTCCTCACTTAATACATTTCATATGCTATCCACACATGAATACGTGTATAAGCTCTCCACATTTACTAATGAATCCTATTGCCCTAAGTTTTGAAATGTTGGCTGTGAAGTTACCCTCCCTTCTCCAATGGCACAGAAAAAGTATGTGGGTAGAGTCGGAAATCTAGGAACATTGTAATCAACGAGTGACAGCACATTGTGTATAAAGGGCAGTTTTACTTTTTTGTCTTTTTCTATATATTTTAATAACATCGCTTAGTAGTAATTGCGTTAAAATAGTTCCGATACCCATAGTTTCGCCCTAGAATGTGGATAATATTACTTTAATATCAGTGATGGATGTGTGTGCTAGTGTGTGTGGGTGTGTGTATGTGGGCGTGTGTATGTGTGCGTGTGAACTCTAATCAATTATTTGTGATATGGATGTTGTTAAACACATGTAAAATATCAAATACTGTACTCGCGTGTCATGTACTCAACACGACTGTAAGCCTGTCATAGTATTTACAAACAGAAAAATAATGAAAAAAAAACAGAAGGACAACTGTATAAAATTGCAATAATTCATTTTTATTTATATCAAAAGAGAAGTGTAAAGTTGATAAAATAATTGTGGCGTTTTTTAAATAAAAATGTTTGATGTTCATGTAAATATTTTTGTTCTATGATGTAATTTTCCAAAAGAGTTGATGTGAATTATCTAGGTATATTATGCTAACCAATGAGCATACATTACTGTGCTTGGTCCTCGGACATATGTTCAGGTTGAGGCGTGTGTTTATCACCTTCGGCTTCGATGGACATCAGCTCAGCAAGCAACGCATTTCTTCGGCATATTAAGATTGCCACGTAGATTCCTGCTGTAAAAAACAATTAAGACAACAAAAAATAATGTATAATATAGTCTTGGATTATGTTAATATTTTAATTATACAAGTGAAATATGACTTACCACAGAAAATTACAGTGAAGTAGAGGACCAGGCCAATTACAACGGTGGTGGGTGACAAGCAAATCTCGGAGGGGCCACAGGTTTGTTGGCAGTTATTTTCCTTCTGACGTTTTTCTATTTCCTCCCTTAACGGACGTGTGTATTGTTCAAACAACTCTGGATACTCAGCTTTATATCTTTCACACTGATCGTCCGTTGGTGGAACTTCTGCGGCGGTTGTTGTTGAAGTTGAAGAAAATAAAACTAGGACTAAAAAAATCTGGAATATAAATATTAAACGTTAGCCAGCCAGCCAGCCACCCAACGTCCACGCCATCTACACACCCAACCTCCTACATTACCTCCCAGTCACCCACCCACCTAACTTTCCACCCACCACCCATTCACCCCATTCATTCTATCCGCCCATCCGTCCGTTCATCCATTCATCCGTTCATCCATTTGTCCGTCCATCCGTCCGTCTATTCGTCCACCCGTCCATTCGTCCATCCGTCCATTCGTCCGTCC